ATGTGCACTGGTCTCTTCCAGGGCTCTCTCTTCTGTCCCATTGATCCATTTGATTAGCTCTGCATCAATTACAAGAATTTTATAATAAATCTTGATAAATGATAAAGCAAGTCCTTTCACATTGTTCTTCTTTTAAGTCAGTCTAAGTCATCTTGTCCATTCCACTTCCATATAAACCTTAGAATCTGCTTGTCAATTCCATCCATTAAAAAAAAAAAAAAAACTTTCGGGCGCCTGGGTGGCTCCGGTGGTGAAGCGACTGCCTTCGGCTCAGGTCATGATCCTGGAGTCCCGGGATCGAGTCCCGCATCGGGCTCCCTGCTCGGCAGGGAGTCTGCTTCTCCCTCTGACCTTCCTCCCTCACATGCTCTCTCTCTACCATTCTCTCTTTCTCTCTCAATAAATAAATAAAAATCTTAAAAAATAAAAATAAATAAATAAATAAATAAAAACTTTCAGTACTTTGGTTGGGATTACACTGAATCTATAAATCAGTTTGGAGATCTGACTTTCTATGACACTAACTCTTCCAATCTATGGCTAGATCTCTACGTTTATTAAGCTCTTCTTTATATCCCTCAATAAAATATTACAATTTACTCCATAGAGGTCCTGCACACTTTTGTTAGATTTCTTCGTAGGTACTTCTTTTTGGCTATTATAAATGTGTATTTTCTTTTTTTATTTTATAATAGTTATTGCTAATACAGGGCAATATCATTAACTTTGCATATTAATTCTGTATCCAGCCACATTGTTAAAATACCTATTAATTACAATAAGTTGGTGTTAGATTCTTCTGGATCTTCCATGTACACAAATACATCATCTACAAACAATGACAATTTCATTTCTTCCTCTCCAATGTTTACATTGTTTTTTTTTTTTCCTTTTCCTGGCCATACGGCACCAGATAGAACCTCCAGTACAATGTTAAATACAAAGTGGTACTAACTGACATCCTTATATTGTTACTGATCTCGAAGATAATCTTTTTCATGTTTTGTTATCAAATATGATATTTTCTGTAGATGGCTTATAGTTGCCCTTTGCCAAATTCAGGAAGTTTCCTTTTATTTCTGTTTTCCTAAAAGTTTTTAGCATGAATGGATGCTGAATGTTATCAAATACTTTTTTTATTTCTACATAGACCGGTGCTATAAACAGGTACAAGTCCAAGGACCATCTGTCATCAGTGTCTGATGTGATAGGCTCAGAAAATGAGAGTAAGCATTTAAGCAAGCATCAGAAATGGTGTTTTGGGGTGCTGCTGAATGTATGTGTCAAGTCACATAAGGCACAAGCCTTAAAGAAGTAGCAGTCAGGGGGCGCCTGGGTGGCTCAGTCGTTAAGCGTCTGCCTTCGGCTCAGGTCATGGTCCCAGGATCCTGGGATCAAGCCCCGCATCGGGCTCCCTGCTCCGCGGGAAGCCTGCTTCTCCTTCTCCCACTCCCCCTGCTTGTGTTCCCTCTCTTGCTGTGTCTCTCTCTGTCAAATAAATAAATAAAATATTAAAAATAAATAAAAATAAAAAATAAAAGTAGCAGTCAGTAGTAGATTGGAAATTTTAAAAGTTGGTCCATTAACACATATAGTTTGTGAAAAACTACGTCGTTTACCTTTTTTTTTTTTTGCCAGAAAATGTCTATTCTCCCTCATTCATGGATGATATTTTCATTGGGTATAAATTTAAAGATTTTATTTATTTATTTGAGAGCGAGAGAGAGCAAGAGAAAGGACAAGCGGGGGAGGGGCAGAGGGAGAAAAAATCAGACTCCCTGCTGAGCAGGGAGCCTGACATGGAGCTCCATCCCAGGACCTTGAGATCATGACCCGAGCTGAAGGTAGATGCTTTACTGACTGAGCCACCCAGGTGCCCCTGGGTATAAGATTCTAAGTTGACACTTTTCCCTCTTAGAACAGTGAAGTTATAATCTATCTTCTGATTTCCAGTATTTCGTTTAAAAAATCAGCTGTCAGTTTAATTGTGGCTCCTTTGGAAGTAATATCTTACTTTCTGGCTACTTTTATATTCTGAAATTTCCTTATCTTCTATATAAGTGGATTTTTTTTATTCATCCTGTTTTGGACTCTAAGGCATCTTTGAATCGGTGGATTTGTTCTTTCATTGGTTCTGGAAAATTCTCAGATATTATCTTATTACACATTATCTCTGTCCCATTCTCTTCCTGTTCTTCTGAAACTTTTTAAAAAAATTTTATTAAAAAAAGAAATATTTGGGGCGCCTGGGTGGCTCAGTCGTTAAGTGTCTGCCTTCGGCTCAGGTCATGATCCCAGGGTCCTGCGATCGAGCCCCACCATCAGGTTCCCTGCTCAGCGGGAAGCCTGCTTCTCCCTTTCCCTTTGCCCCTGCCTGTGTTCCCTCTCTCGCTGTCATTCTCTCTGTCAAATAAATAAATAAAATCTTTTTAAAAAAAAAAAGATTTGATTTTTTTAAGCAATCTCTACACACCCAACGTGGGGCTCGAACCCACAACCCGAGATCGAGTCACACACTCCACCGACTGAGCCAGTCAGGCGCCCCATCTTCTGAAACTCTTATTAGACATATATTTAACTCCACTGTATCTGCAATGTCTCTCTCTTTTTTTAAAGATTTTATTTATTTATTTATTTGTCAGAGAGAGAGAGAGGCAGGCAGAGGGAGATGCAGGCTCGCGGCTGAGCAGGGAGCCTGATGCGGGGCTCGATCCCAGGACCCCGAGATCATGACCCGAGCTGAAGGCAGATGCTTAACCGACTGAGCCACCCCGGCATCCCTCTGCAATGTCTCTTAACCACCCTCCCATATTTCTATCTTTTTGTCTCTCTGTGGTGGATTCTAGATGATTTATTCTGAATAAATTCTTTCTTCAGCTTTGATTTGGCTTATTTTCTGTCTCTCCAGTAGAATGTAAACTACATTAGAGCAGGGTCCTTGTCTGTTTGGCTCACTGCCGCGTCCTCAACACCCAGAACAGGGCCCGGCACTCAGCGGGCACGCCAATAAATATTTGTTTGATGAATGAATGCCACCAGATGACTACATCTTATCTTGACCTTACAGGGAACTTCACAGAGCTGTACTCTAGAGAGCCCATCCCCCATCGGATCTACAGTTCTCCATAATCAAGGTTGTTAGGGCAAAGCAAACCACGGAGTCAAGATAATAAAATCATTCTGTTTGGGCCTGACTAATGAGTTTCCGTGAAAGACTGAGGAAAACCAATTCAAGCAGCCAACACCCACGAAGCCACCGCACCATCATGGAATAGCCAAAAGTGTGGCATGTATCAATCGGAATTCAGCTTCCAAAAGGCAGCTCGGGGGCTACTGAGAGCTGAACAAACTGATTCAAAGTCAAATGTAAGGAAACTATGTGATAGGGGCGCCTAGGTGGCGCAGTTGGTTAAGCGACCGACTCTTGGTTTCAGTTCAGGTCCTGATCTCGGGGTCCTGATCTCTGGGTCCTGAGATCAAGCCCCGCGTCAGGCTCCCTGCTCAGTGCGGAGTCTGCTTAAGTTTCTCTCTCCCCCTCCCTCTGCCAGCCCCCCCGCCGACGTTCTCTCTCTCTCTAAAAAATCTTAAAAAAAAAAACTATGTAGTAGATAGAATGCCCACCCCCCCAACCCTCGCTGATATGTCCACATCCTAATCCCTGAAACTTGTGAATATATGACCTGAATGGCAAAAAGGACCTTGCAAATGTGATGAAGTTAAGGATTTTGAGATGGGGAGATTCTCCTGAATTACCTGGGTGGGCCCAGTGTAATCACAAAGGTCCTTACGAGTGAAAGAAGGAGGCAGGAGGGTCCGAATCAGAGAAGGAAGAGGTGGGAGCGATACACATGAGACCCAGCTGCCCACTGCTGGCCTTGCAGACAAGGAAAGGAGCTATGAACCAAGAAATGCAGGCAACTTCTAAAAGCTGAAGAAGTCAGAAAACAGATTCTCCTCTGAAGCCTTCAGAAGGAATGCAGCCCTGCTAACACCCTGACTTTAGCCCAGTGAAACCAATTTTGGACTTCCATCCTCCGCCACTGTAAGATAATTCATTTGTATTATTTTTCTTAAGATTTTATTTATTTATTTGAGAGAGAGCATGCGCACATGAGCGAGGGGGGAGAGGCAGAGGGAGAGAGAGAGAGAAAAGATCTCAAGCAGACTCCATGCTGAGCACAGAGCGTGACCCACGGCTCGATCTCCTCGATCTTACAACCCTGAGATCATGACCTGAGCCGAAATCAAGTGGGATGCTTAACCGACTGAGCCACCCAGGCGCCCCTAGTTTGTATTATATTTTAAGCCACCAAGTTTGTGGTAATTTGTTACAGCAAAAATAGGAAAGTGATACGGATCACCAAGATAAGTAACCTTCAAAGTCCTGTTTGTGATCCAACAGTGTGCAAGAAATCCTTTGGTCTAGGCAAGAAACTTTTTTAAATTAAGACTAGACTAGAAAATCGCAGAATGAATCCCACCTAGAAAAAAATCAGTATTACCTGGTGAAACTTTTCTTTGAGATGTGTGTGTGTAGGTTTATATCCACATGTGTATGAACTGCCTGGGGAGGTCATGGTCACAAAAACCTGAAAGAACACTGACCTACAAAAGTCACATTGTTGCCAAGGTCAAGGGATTGGAAACCTATGTAGACTCCGCTGCATTACCAACATCCTCTTTTTGCTGATGAAGAAACTAGGGCCCAGAGAGGTAAAGACTTGCCCTCAGTCACACAGCTCTGATCAGCGGGGCCAGGATTCTAATGCAGGCTTTGCTGACTCCAGGAGGTGAACCTTTCCCCTTTAACCACACCAGCCCCCTTTTGGGATGTGTGGGACAGTGCTAAGCAAGAAACACCCATATTCCCTCTAGAGCCTGAACATAACTCTCCGAGGATGCTTTCCATAAGCCCATTTTTCAGACAAGGAAGCTAAGGCTCAAAGCAGTTCCGATACCTGCCCCAAGTGGGATCCACAGAGTCTGGTCTCAGAACCCACCTGCTTGTCCAGGGCTCTGGTCTGCTCCTGTAGCTCCTTGACCTCGGCCTGTACCTGGAGCCGGCACTTGAGCAGCTGGCCCATGTTCTCCAGCCTCTCATTATCCCGTAGCCGCTTGACCTGGCTCTGGGCGACGCTGATCTGCACCTTAAGTTTATCTCGCAACCCCTCCAAGCGCTGGATCTCCTCGCTGCCCAGGCAGGGAGGGGGAGAGCAAGCCAGCAAGCGGCAGAGCTCAGAATCACTAAAGGCCAGACTCGGGGCCGGCCCTCCCCCCTTGGAGCCAGGAGCCGGACCCACAGCCCCCCGAAGAGCCCCCTCCCCAGCTCCGGGACCAGGTAGTGGGCTCACAGTTGCTTGTTGATGCGCTGGTGGACTTCCTTGCTGTAAGCGCGCCTCTCCCCCTCCATCACTTTGCATTGCCGCTGTAGTCTGCTCAGCTCCCAATCCACTGAGGGCAGGACCAGCCAAGGGGCTCAGGAGGAACCCAGTAGGCCCCAGACCCTTCCTCTCCACGAGCTAGGAATTCTGGCTCCCTCAGGGTCCCACAAATTGCACCTGAAGTGCAGACGCAGTCCCCGCCAGCCCTCTGGCTCTGTATCTTGGCTCCTACACGCCTTCCGACTCCTGTACCCCAAGCTGACCTCAGGATTTTTCCCATCACTCCTGCCCCAGGTTTGGGCACACACTTTCCTACTAGAGGGCGCTCCTGGCAGGCCTCCTGGTCCTCAGGGACCTGGCACATAGGATCTGGAACTTGGGAAAGGTGAGGATAGGTGCCAAGAACTGGGGCAGCACTCCAACTCCCTCCCCTACTTCAGCCCCCATCACCCAGCAGTCCTCGGTCCCATCCTCCTTCCTCAGCTCATCTTCTAGTCTCAGGCTTCCTTCTGTCCTGCCTGGACCATCACCCCAGCCTCCTCCCCAACCTCTCGGCCTTCCCTCACAGCCTCAGCGGGTCTTTCTACACCCAGAGCTGACCCTGCTCCTCCCCTGCTCACAGGCCTCCCTTGGAGCCCCAGGGCCCCCAGGACAATGTCCCAGCTCCTCAGCCTGGTGTTCAAGGCCCCATACGATCTGACCCTACCCACCTGTTGAGTCTGGTCCACTAGCTCCCCGCCCCCCACGGCCCAGTGGCTCTCAACCAGAGATTCTGCCCCGTACAGAGAGCTGGCAATGTCTGGAGACATTTTTGATTGTCACGATGTGGGGATGGGGCAGGGGAAGGTGCTCATGGCATGTAATGGCTAGAGGTCAGGGATGCTGCTAAGCATCCTACAATGCCCAGGACAGCCCCCATGACTAAACATGATCTAACCCCAAGTGCCAACAGTGTGGAGGCTGAGAAACCCAATTCTAGCCACATGCTGTTCTCTCTGCTGAAACACTCGTCCCTGCCTGCTCCCACTGGGAATTCCTGGGAGGAGTTCCAAGTCCCACTCAAACTTCTCCTCCTGCAGGAAGTCTTCCCGGACTGCCCCACTCCCCCGGCTTGGCCTCTCCCTCTGCCCTGCTCCACCTCCATTCCCACGCATGCGCATTCCTCGCTAGAGGGCTCTCCTGGAAGATCTCCCTGTCCTCAGTGCGCTGCAGCACGGTACCTGGAACTTGGGGAACTGAGGAAAAGAATGAGTGAAAAAAGCAAGACTGTATGAATTACCCATTCCTTCCAGGAAGGCCTCACTTCCATCCTCCGAGCGGGTGCTCCCTGCAGAGTGTCCCAACGGCATCTTGGCCAAAGCGGGAGGGGCTCCTGTAGGGGTGACACAGGACCCCTTTAGACAGCAAGCAGGAGAGGGCCGGAAGGAAGGTGGGGATGAACCGCGAGGGACTAGGAATTGGAAGGTGACCCCCGAATCAGCTCTGGCCTCTCTTTGAGTCTCAATTCCTCCAATGGGTTGGAGGGGGACACCTCTCAGGCCTCTCTCCACACCCCTCCTGACCTCCCACCTCTCATATTTTCTGTCTTGTGTTTCCACTCTGACTCGCGAGCGGGGGACAGGCCCCCTAGGCTCTCAGTATTTCTGAGGCGTGGCTGTTTGTGGAGGGAGACACGAAGGAGGGGAAAACCCCGGCCGGCTGTGGGGAGCGAGGCCTGGTCCCTACCTGCTGGAGTGCCTGACCTGTCCTTGGTCCTCCAAACTCACTGTTGTGGCCTGGTTACTGGGGAGATAAAGGGCCAATGAGGCCTGACGATAGCGGCCGGGGTGGGACCGAGGCCTCCAGCAGGCGCCGCGGGAGGGGAGGCTGGGGAGGAGGGGCCGGGGCAGTCCGAAGACCAGAGGAAACCTCGGGGGCTGGGTACACACGGACTGGGGGGCCGGGAGCCCTGCGAGGGGCGGGGCTGGGAGAGCTTGCGGGGGCGGAGCTCTGAGCCTCGCGAGGGGCGGGGCGGGAGGGGCCTGTGAGAAGAGGGATTGGGTGTGCCTTGAGGGGCGGGGCTTCAGCGCTTGAGAGGGCCATGAGACCTGTAAGGAGCACGGTACCTGTGGAAGGAGGGCCTGCGGGGACTAAAGAGGGACCCGGCACCAGTATCCGTAAAGGGCGGGGCTGCGGGCCTTGCGAGGGGTGGGGCAATGGGGGGGCTGTCGGGGGGAGGGGCACGGGTACCTGCAAACGCCGGAGCTTCACGGACCTGCGAAGGGCGTGGGTAGAAGGCCACTGGAGGGGCCTGGTGGGAGGGCGCTGGAAGGAGGTCTGGAAGACGCTAACGGGGAGCGAGGGGCTGTGAAGGGCGGGCTGTATGTTTTCGGGGGGGAGAGGCAGGAGCTGAAAGACCCTATGGAGCCAGGACTGGGAGAGAAACGTCTGGAAGGCTTTGGAGCTAGGCCGAGGTCCTTCGGGACGAGGCCCGAGAGACGTGTGTCTTAAGTTAAGACCACGTTATTGTGAAGATTCATTAGGAAGACCGTGCCGATGCCGGGAGTTGTGAGAGGAAGGAGAGCTCACCACCAACTCGGGGTCCACGCAGTGACTCACTACGCATGCGCGGCCAACGGCCTCCTGCGAAGCCTCTTGCTGGCTGGGTCCGAGTACTGAGAGGCGGAAGTGGGCGGGGCCGCGAGCTCTTCGTGCCGCCCCCGCCTGGCCACGCCCCCTCGCTCCGCAGGGCACGCCTTCTCGGCTGCAGGCTACTGCCCACGTGGGCCTCCCCGGAGCGGGCGGGCAGTGGGCGCAGTTCCCTGCAGGCTGGGTGTGCCTGAAGCCTGTGGTTTCCTGTGGGAGGAAGCAGCCCGCGGGCGCTCAGCTCGGCTCTTAGCGTTGGAGGCCCAGGAGGGGGAGATCCCGTTACCGCCCTCGGGCTCCCTGATTCTCCCCCTTCCGCAGGGTCCTAGCTTGAGGGAACTCCTACCACGCCCCGCCCCCCCACCCCCCCCCTCCCGCTACATTCCCAAGGTACCCAAATCTGGCGCTGATTCCACTCAGGGAAGTTGATTTAGAGTCCTAGCCTCCTGTTTTCTATCTCCCCTCACTCACATTTCTATCTCCCTAGCCCCTGGTTTCCAGACTCCTTCCAGGGCCAGGTCTGGTCCCCTTTGCCTACACTCCATGAAAAGCACATGACCCTCCAGCCTCTAATTTTTCCTTCAGTGACCCAGACTTTCTAACTTCCTTGGGGTTCTGAATTCAGACGTCCCCAGTCTCTGTCCCCAGGGACCCTAATTTTGTACTCCTAACTCTATGCTCGGGGCCCAGTGGACCCAAGAATTTTCCCCTTCCCCAAATCCTAGAGACCTTGAACTAGAGTCCCGCCATACTAAATCCATTCAGGGCCCCGGTGGTGGGTATAACAAGCACATACTATGTACTGGACACTACCCTATGATGTATTTACTATTATTATCCTTATTTTACAGATAAACTGAGGCATAGAGAGGTTATTAGTAACTTGTCCAAAATCACAGCGAATGAGTACAGCAGCTTGGATTTGAATCCAGTCCATGCGCCTCTGTAGACTGCTGTACCGGTACCCAATTTCTGGATCTCCTGAGTACCTGCCTAGTCACTGAACTGCCTATCCCTCACCCCTTCAGGGAGCTGAGATGACCAACACTCTCCTTCCCCCTAGCTCTGGCCCCACCAAGATAACCAGACATCCCATCCTCCAGTTTCCTTCCCTTGCAAGAACCTAGGATTAGGATTTCAGTCCTCCAACTCTCAGTTCCATATCAGGACCCCAGACACCTGGTCCCCTGTCCCTCACTTTTTTTTTTTTTTTAAGATTTTATTTATTTATTCATGAGAGACACAGAGAGAGAGAAGCAGGCTCCCAAGGAGCAGGGAGCCCGATGTGGGACTCGATCCCAGGACCCTGGGATCATGACCTGAGCCGAAGGCAGACGCTTAACCATCTGAGCCACCCAGGCGCCCTGTCCCTCACTTTTTACCAGCACCCAAACCTTCCAGGAGACCCATATATAGTAATCACATTCCGCCCTGATTCAATAACTCAACAATAAGTAATAATAATAATAGTAATAATAATAGTGAACATAAAGTCCCTGGTACTGCACTTCTGTTTAAAACCCTCCAGTGGCTTCTCACTGCCTGTAGAATAAAATCCAAACTCCTCCCGTAGTCTTCAAGGGCCCTCTTTGATTTCCCTTCCTACCACTCCCTCCAGCTCCCTCTATTCCAGCCACACTGGTCCTTCTGTGTGCTTTCCAAACAACCTGAGCTTGTTCTTGTGAGCCTCCACCCTCGCATTTCCTCTTCCTCCCGCACTGAAATGACTCCTGTCCTCAGGTCTCAGCTCAGATGTCACCTCCCCACAGAGCCCTTGTCTGATCACCTTGTTTAAAGTAACTTCCTCCCACACGTCTTTATCACCTCCACTCTGTTTTATTTCCTGCAAAGCACTTAGCGACCCGTCTGAAATTTATCAGCTTCATTGGTAGGTTTTCTCTTTATGGTCTGTCTGCCCCTACTAGGAAAGTGAGCTCCATGATAACAGCAGGCGTCTGTTTTCTTTATTACGACCTCCCGTTTCATAATAGATGTTCAATAAATGTTTGATGAAGAAAGGAATGAACGTGTGGCTGCGTCAGTGTACCGGTATTACCTTATTCATTTTTTTAAAGATTTTATTTATTTATATGACAGAGAGAGAGAGAGAGCACACAAGCAGGGGGAACAGCAGTGGGAGAGGGAGAAGCAGGCTCTCTGCTGAGCAGGGAGCCCGATGCAGGGCTCAATCCCAGGACCCTGGGATCATGATCTGAGCCGAAGGCAGATAGATGCTTAACCGACTGAGCCACGCAGGCGCCCTACCTTATTCATTTAGAGTTAAGTATCCGAATTAGGACTACCACTATTAGTATATTGTCAGTTTTATTAGTATTACTGTACCCATGTCACAGATGAGGAAAACGAGGCTCAGAGAGTTGAAATAATCAGTCGAGGCAGGATA